GCCAAACTAGCTATAATTTTTTTTCAGTTTTAAAACAAGATATCGTTATTATTGACCGTTAGTTAGCTTCGACTGGTAATTAACGTTCGTTGCGTTTGCTTTGGCAACCCTACTAACTACAGGGGTGTTCAAGAAAATATGTATACATACTTTGAGGATGAAAAGCGTATATATTATCATACGTATTACAGTAAATAAAAATGACAAAATTACGAAAAGTGTTCCAGCTGTAATCCATCGGCTTCCAAACATTTTTGAGTAACATGAGATACATTGTTGATGACATCTCACAGAATAGTTACAGGAATTACGTGACAAGACGTGTTTCAATTGCATAGCGCATTTTCTCTAATGCGTGCGGTTTCCTGCTTTACATCATATATTCCTGAGGTAACACCGTAAGTAAAGAGACCACATCAGTTGGGAAACAAAATTTGCGTCATTTTCAACCTGCGTGAGGTGTCATTCACAATACTGAGTTCTTCTGTCCGGATCGTCCTCGTTCAGCAACAATTGTGGTACGTCAACTTTCCATTTTGCTCTTTGAAAAATACGACCAACATTAGCTCAACTCACATCTGTTTCATGTGCACATTGTGATGTCGATTTATATAGTGATCATGTGAATGAATCTAACTCTCCAACAGAAAACGCTTCGCTTGTTGATATACGTGGCCCTCCCGATCGTCCTTTATATGCATATCCTTTATTGTTCCATTAATTTCAAACTTATCGTGAACGCGAGCAATGCTTAAGCGTATTGGTGTTTTTGTTCCACATTGTTGCCTCCAATGTCGTTGCACTTCACTGGTATTTTTGAACTTTTAATATTATTTCAAAATGTTTTTCGTCGCTCGAAAGTCAGACTTACTTGCGCCATGGTCTCACTTTCCCTACTAAAACACTAGGACCATCTGTCGTTGAACTATTGTTGAACGAGTCGAAAAACTAATGCCAAATGTTAATACCAACTCTTACAACTTAACCCTATAGTCAATGCGATCTCAAACTTGTGGCATAATTATATTAGCCACTCTTAAAGTGTGCATTAATTGTTTTGATCACCTCTATATATGACGACAGCAATTGAGCCATTTGTCTCTTTAACACGCTTCACTGGTAATTGATACGTTAAGTGCGAGTTGTTGTTAAAATGAGTCAAATGCTAGGCTTAACAGAAGCTTTTAAAACAATTCTTTGGAAACAAGAGGACTTGATTACAAGAAGGTTCGATTGCTGCAAAGCATAAATGTCCGAATAGTATGCGTTTGCGAGAAATGAATAATACAATTGATGGTTGTAAATGAAGATACCGTTCGAAAGTAGGAGAAAATCCACGTGATGTGAGTAGGAGTATAAGGAAAGGTATGTCGTTCAGCAAAAGTTATTTGAGTATGTGTTGAAATTTGTTTGAGTCCTGGAGTCATGGAAAATCCGCCTTGAAGAGGGGGTCAATGCACGTTAAATCTGTCTAAGGTCTATGTCCTCCCGTTGGTCTGGTGTGGTAGTTAGAAGAGGGGGTCTCATCACTTGACCGAGGTTCATAATTACGAGGTCCGTTATCAAAAGCCCTCGGGTAGCTGAACAATGGGACGTAAGTATTCACTCACTTGACTGGAATATGTTTTGTCGAGAGGTTTACATGAATTGTTCTCTTTAAAATGTGCTTAATATTATTTTTTTAAGAAGCGAAATTTAACAGGAATCTGTTCTAAAAATCTTTAAAAATTTTATTTATCTCTTTCGAACATCGATTTTTCTCTTTTAGAATGTTTAAAATTTTGTTTTTCAAAAAGCTAAATTTTTCATGGAATTGCTCCATAAGTTTTAAAATTTTCCATTTTTGAGCTTCGAACATCAATTTATTCTCTTTAGAATGTCCTTAACTTTATTAGAAGATAAATTTTACATGGATTTGTTTTCAAAGTCGTAACATTTTCCATTTTTATTCCTTCGGATATAATGTTGTATTTATCCCTGTTTCCTCGGTCTTAACTTTAACAAACGCGTTTTGGCATCATTTTGGCGCGTTTTAAAAAAATAGAGATGAGCAAAGATAGGACTTTGCCATTTGCATTACAGTCTATTATTAGAATAATTACGTTAGAAAATTTAATATGATGTATTGTATCTGTTAATTAATAAAAGGGAAAGCTTATGTGCGTTAAGATGACATAGCACAAAGACGGAAAGGCCCAGACAAAGGCAATTAATTCTGAAACGATTGGCGATGATGGCGTACGCATTGAAGCATTTTTTTTAGTAAAATCATTTTATTATTTTAAATTTAATGTTGAAAGCATTTTTAGTATACTTTGTGGTCTTGCTCATTATCGAAATAGCAGTATCACGCGATTTTCCATCTCCTCAGCAAACTAAGCTTCTTAAGAGGATTTGTTTTGAGATGGTAAATTAGTTAGCCAATATTTGGCAAATTTTTGAAAATATCACTAAAAAACACCAATTTTCAATTCATTGTTGCCAATATTTATATTTATACTGCTATATATTGAAAACTATCGATCCAAATGACAAGTAATTCCCATGAAATGGTCATTTGGCCTACATTTCAAAGAAGAGCGGAGACAAATTACAAAGGCTTTTACACAAGTTTTTGTACTTACGTATTTTATACCGTCAACCAATTTCACCAAATCAAAAGACGTCGTCAACTGTAATTATTATTATTGTGCTCTAACATGTTCCAGAACGGTTTTCACTATTGGCTGCATATCATGTAATTTGGCAACGTTTCGGATTTAACTAAATTGGTCGAAGGTATAATTTATAAGTATACTCGAAGCTTTAATTACCAAATCAGTAAGCGAGCTTTCGGCCTTTCTGCGCGTGCATGTCTTTTACCTCTCTTCCACTCTGCATAGATCTAAAACATAATGCCGATTTCGAGGCTCTTCGACAATGGTGTATCTTCAAAATGTGACGTTAAAAAACAAGCGATCACTCATCAATAGTATGTCACGTCCCATAACGTTGTGGTTTATTCTTTCTGGCATATTGATTTATTCTTTGTAAGATACACATACAAGTTTATAAGATATGTTCAGGAAAAAATCATATAACTACATTTGAATAAACACGTATTTTTCCAGGCGTGTAAGTAAAGCTCTTTTGGGGGGAGGGTCTTTTCCAAAATTCCTACTATAACTAGACGATTACTATTAAGAAGGAAACGTCCATCCCTCCGTCCTCTATCTGGAATTAGAAGCGGCTTGGTGTTGTTCCTTGGCTGGTGGTGGTGGGCATGGAAATAGGTGGCAGGAACCAATGAGGTGACAGGCACAAGACTGTTTGAGAGAGGCTTTGATTGGATGCTGGGAGTGAGCTTCGAAAATTGGATTTCAGAATTTTGAAAAGTAGCAATTGATGTTAAAAAGTTTAGAAATTAAAAAAAGAAATTTTAAAACTTTTAAAACTTTTTTCGAAAAAAAAAATTACAAAATAAGGAGGCTAAAATTTATCCATCATAGCTTCGAAAAGAATCAAAGCCTTAGCTTGGTCATCTTCGGTATTTTTTAATTTAGGAAGTAATTGCAAAATTCCGGGTGATCTTTTTAAAATATTAGAGATTATGCTGACCAGTTCAATAACTTGAGCTAGGTCTTAATTATTATTTTCTTTTTGAGGTGGATTCCGTGGAAAACTTTGTTGTCTGAATTTTCATTTGATTTTTCGGTTAACTTTGTGACTGGGGTGGGGTGGGGGGTTCCGCTAACAACGTTGCCGAAGAGACACCCTCCTTACGAACATTGATTTCGAAAGTTTTATTTGCGGAAAGGGGCGAGCCCTTTTTTGGTTTAGGGAATATGGGGCATTTGGTGTAACAGGCCGAATGGCCATATTCCTGGCAATTTATGCAAAAAGGTTTATCCTGTCTTTCCTTTATCGGGCATTGACGGGTGGGGTGTTCCTTTCCACACTTCAGACATCTTGGTTTAATTCCTTCTATTAGTTTATACTCTCCCTATATATACAGTCGGACCTCTATGTAACGAAGTCGCGAAATCCCGGAAAAAAGTTCGTTATATGGAAAATTTGTTATATAGAGGTTCATATTTTAATTATAAACCACATAAAACAAATTTAAAATTCATAAACACTATGTATTTAAAAAAGTAATTATTCACAGCTTCTTTAAAATTAATGTATGTTTATTTTATATATCTTACCCATAAAAAAAGAAAGAAAGAAAAACTGCAAGGAAAACTAGAAAAAACAATTTTGAATGTGTCACTGTATTTTCAATATTAAGAAAATAATTTTAAATTAAAGTTAATGATTTTTAATGACATTTTCTAATTTAAAGCATACACGTAATATTAAACATTTAATAGTGTAGATACATCATTTTATAACTAGAAAACCAGGACATGGGACAACTCTACTGGATATGAAAGGGGATATCGAAGATGTTTCTAGTGAACTGGACAATGACAGTTAAAGGTTGCACTTCTTGGATGAAACGTCCAGAACTCTATTGCTCTCAGCGAGTTGGGATCTAATAAAACAAGTTCAAGATTCATGACCACCATAAAATCTGTTAAATAGAGAATAACTTGAAATGTTAAAAATAGTTTAAAAATAGGGAGAAAAAAATTGAAACACAAAAGTAAAAGTTCGTTGTGTAGAAAATACACTTCGCTATAGAAAGGTTATTTTACGAAGAAAATCGTGAAATGCTGAAGGTTCCAGGAAAAAGTTCGCTATATAGAAAAATTCGCAACACGGTGGTTCGTTATACAGAGGTTCGACTGTATTTATTTATAGATTTGTATATCTTGTTTAAATTTTCAATTATTAATAAAATACTTTTTATTCGTCCACTCCATTTCAAGTACATTTTTTTAACGTACTGGATGCACTTTATGTTGATACAGTTTTTTCAAATATTAATTCATTACTTAAGTTTAATTAATGAATAAATAGTAACAAACAAAAATAATAGTCCAACACCATGTGTAAAAAGGAAAATCACTCATTGTGTTTCTGTAACGCAATGGATAACTTGTTGGACTTCTAATTCAAAGGTTCGAATCCCACCTGGGATGGCTTAATTTCTAAGAATGATTTCTTTTTTCTATACTATTTTATCGGAAGAATTAAATTTAATTAATGAATAAATAGTTGCAAACTAAAGTAATAGTGAAACACTCTATATAGAAAGGAAAATGGAAAATTGCTTTCTATTTTGCCACTTAATATTGTGATTCCGTCACATGTATGTGAGAACTCCCCTGGGTTCCACCCTGGACACAAAGATTGAATTGAGGCAAAGAACTACCAGACATCATTTTCAGAATATCAAATTATATTTATTCACTCAGTTCAAATATCAACCTTCTAATTCCAAATATTAAACAATATGTCTACGTCAAAGCAATTTACCTTTACTATTAAATTAAATTACAAAATATGATATTAATCAACTACTAATTTCAATATCGAACGGGTTTACCGGAGTAGGAGGTCCGAGAAATACACGCAACTTGAATTATTAACATTCCTTAAAATTTAACTAATTTTATTGTATATTAACTCTTGTGGTCAGATAGACTAAGTTATAATATATCACCTGGCTGTAATGTCGTTCTCTCCAGGTAGATCAATCTTCCTAAGGTTACTTCGCTGAATAATAACAGCAATACTCTAATCACGCAATCCACTTGAATCTTCCTAACTTCGTCACTACTGCTCTTGGCTCAATCGCCTTCTATCTGCTAACTTACAACGCTCTCCTTAAATACCTTAATTTATTTGAATATCCTATTTTCTTCTTCCACAGCTTATTGAAAATATACGCGAATTTACAATCCCCAAAGACGCCTAAGAGTAATAGTGGAAAAGTGCCGTAAAGATTCGTCACATGTATATACATATTTATATTAATTGTAATTATTTCACAAAAAGTAACTAAAATAAAAATTTTCGTTGTTGACCTAAGTAGGAATTTATTTAATTTTTTTTATATTACTTGCTGAATAAAAATGTACACGTGTGTTAAACTTAACCTCTTATTTTCGACAAAAATGCAATACATAAGAAGATTTTATATTATTCATTCACTCAATAAATTATATTTAAACAAGAATTTCTTACATTTTGTAGAATATTCAGAAGCGGGCTCTGATACGTGTCTTGAACTGAAATGTGATACTCCAAATACCGAATGCGTTTACGATGTTATTAAAGAGAAACCAGTTTGTATGTGTAAAGATGAACATTACATGTACGTGGACAATGAATGTAAAGGTAGGTGCAACTGGACAGATTCGCAAACCTTTTGCGATCATCATCCATTTCGTAAGGCATACACACAAATGAATTTTACTCTACTCCATCTCTCGTTCATTATAGCAGTTTCCCGTGACCAAACTACACTCATGTCCATAAATTAAGGATAATTCACAGAGAATCACATGGAATTCGAGCTGTAGAGTAAAAATTTCACCTATATTATTATCATGCACATCTCGTTAAGAATAATACGCAAATTACAGGAATCCACCAGATGACGCCGATAGTACGTCACAATTAAGAGACACTCTTTTCAGTGACGTATTTTCAGGGCAGTGTGAGCACAATCGCAATTCCTTCTTTCTCTAAGACAGGAGTGGGCAGACTTTTACATGGCACGGTTTACTTTTAATTCTTTCAAGGTATTGCAGTCCACATTGTAACGTAAGTGGGATGAGCAAAAAGAAAAAGCTCAACAATATTTGGATTTTAACAATAAAAAAAAACAGAATATGTGTACTTGCTTACATAACTACAGTAGAAAAACTTACTCTTTTAAAACTACGTTTTAAGTAAAACGCAAAATATAAACATAATAACTACACCCATAAATTTAGTAATATCAAATGATGCATCTTCAAACAATTCACAATTCATCAAAACATGAAAAAATAAATAATTTTCACTTAAAATGAGTTCTCATAGCTATAGTCTCATAAGAAGACTTAGACTTCATACTATCCGCCCCCCAATCTTGAATATATCGGTATATAATTACTAACTGCTAATCTTACTCTGGATTCTAAGTGGTCGTCTGTGAAACGGGAATGATATGTTGTCTTAAAAATATTCTTCATTCAAAATGTAGATTCACACAGATAGAGCGAAAGAATGATGTTAAATGAATTTCAGCTTTTTTTAAAATTGGAACACTTTACTTTGTCTATTAAATTCCAAAAGTTATTCTTTAAAAATTACGTCCTTGTGATGGAGAAAAAAAAATGCTTCGTTTTGCTCGAGAAAATGTAACATATTTTTAGTTATATTTTTCACATCAACATTGCCAAACGGTTAACCCTTGAAAGCAAATTTTGATTCTAGTCTAGTAAATTCTTGAAAACATCGTTCAAATTTGAGTTGCAGTGTTATTCACACACACACGATGTCTCTTTTATTCACGGGTGTTTTCATTATCTTGATAACCACCTGTGTTTCTTTTAGTAAGCGCGTCTAATGTTTTATGTGAAGGCAGTCACCCCAAAATGTCTTGGCGGTCCACCGGTCGATCGCGATCTATTTAATGTCCACCTTGGCCCTAAGAGAAGGATATATAAGGAATGGTGACAAAGAAGTAAAATTGTTCTCACAAAGGTTCTTTAAGCAGCTCACTATCAACCACCATATCGAACATATCACTATCGATAACCATAATCGAATAGTTATGACACACACAGGACGCGTGTAGGGGATTTTTACGTGATAGAATTGGAATGTAAATGTACTTAGATGAAAGTATCCGAGGAGCTTCAAATTGACCAAAGTGTAATATTTAAGCTTTGGCGATGATGGAAATGTAAGTAGACGTTACAGTGCATATCTCCCTCGAGTTACAACGCCGAATGAAGACCACTATTAAATGAGTGATTTTGAATTTTAATGACGCAAGGGCCAATTTTGGACAAACTGTGCCAAACAGTCGTTAAAAAATCAAATTCTCTCTTTTTTTTTAATTCATAAAAATAGAAAGGCCGATATTATAAGTGCCAAAAATACTACAATTTGAAGACAAACCTCGTGCAGACGTTTGGGATAGATTGGTCTACATCAAGGGTCATCAACCTTCTAGCTGTGGGGTGTCAAACCAATCTACCAATATGATTCAGCGGGAAAAATAGTAGGGCATTTTTGAAACAATTCGATTCCCGCGACAATGCAAGCAGAGTTAGAGAATAGAGGTCATTAATATAGATTTACAATTTTATTACGTATTAATTTTGCATCATTTAAAGATATTTCTTAACATAAAAATAAACAGTATAAAATATGACTATTTCTTCAACAAAAATTTTTAACAAAATTAAATTGTACAAATATTATGAATTTTTAAACATATTTGTTAAAACAAGAAATGGACAACATAAAATATAAGTACTTCTCTTCGCTATCTTTATACACTCAGGAACATTGGAAATAGCGACCCAAGAAGAAAGCATCGGATTGAAATAAAATTTAATACACATAATGACACAGATGAGAGATTCACTTGATCTCAAAAGCAAGACAATTAAACGAATACAGGGTGTGGAACGACACAAATACTGGACAACTTTAATAGCGCGTTGGACCACCTCCAGCTGCAATACATGCCGCCACACTGTCCAGCATTGAGTTGATTAGACACCTTATGTTTGTGATGACCCCCTTGGGTCACACCTTGAACACCAAGATTAATTTGAGGCAAAGAACCACCAAAAGACATTTTGAATAATAATATTATTTATTTTTGTTATAATTTCCTCAAAAATCTCTGATAACAAATAATATAATTATGTTACGTCATCTAAAGGGATTTGCCTTTATATTAAATTAAATTACTAAGAATACGATTGATTACTAATCTAGCTCAACTCAAGTAAGGTTTACAGAAACTAGGAGATCCGAGAAACATACGTATTCGAATTCTGAATTGTCATTAACTTTAACTAAGTATCTCAACCTGACGCTTACTTTAAGCGTACATGAATTATATTTACCGCTGGATTATATCAGTCTGGTACGTCTAGCAGCACGACGTCTTCACGAATCTAATCTCCTTGAATCTTCTAGTTTTACTTTTAACGTTGTTGGCTTAATAGCCTACCATCATCTCCTTGCTATCTCGCAACTCTCGACTTAAATACCTTATCTAATTTGAATATCCCAAACTTCTTTTTGGAGTTGATTGGAAATAAACGTGAATTTATATTCCCTAGAAAGACGCCTAAGAAGATTAGTGGAAAGGTTCCGTACAGATTCGTCACATGTTGTCCTGAGGCAGATGGGCCCACAAATCTTGAACAGATAACTCTAAATCATGTACAGAGAGATACGATGGAATCTGCAGTTTTAGCTGATCCCTCACGTGCTCTACAGGGGACAAATCGGGGGAGCGGGCCGGTCATGGAAGAATCTGAAAATGACGTAGGAAGTCTTGAGCAACACTTGCTGTATGCGGACGAGCATTATCTTGCTGGAAAATTGCCCCTGGGAGACCATTTAGGAAAGGTCCTATATGGGGTCGAAGAAGATCATCAACGTAACGTTGGCCCGTTAAGGTTCCACGCATCATAATTAATGTGAACCGGCTATCATAGGCTATGGCCCCCAGACCATTACACCAGCTGTGCGGGCAGTGTGACGTAGAACAGTGTGGGGGGGATTGTACCTCTCACCAGGGCGGCTCCACACCCGTACACGGTTATCATCTGTCCCCAAAACAAACCAAGATTCATCACTAAACACAACCTTTTGCCAATCTGTGATATTCCACATTGATTTGGCTTGGCACCACTGTAGACGCAGTTGCCGATGTTCCGGTGTTAAAGGGAGTGCACGGAAAGGGCGCTTGGATTTAAGATTTGCTTCTGAAAGGTGTCTAGAAATTGTTTGTGAAACAATAGCTACGCCTACGTCTGCTCGTACCGTTGAACGAGTCACTGTGGGGTCCACAAGTGCTTGCCGCACGATCCTTCGATCCTCTCTCCTCGTTGTCTTCCTGGTCGCTCCAGACCCGGTTTTCCGCGCGTGGGTACCTTCTCGTGTTCACTGCTCTCAA